GTCAAGGCTGCGGTGGCCGGAAGCGGCCACTGCACTCCAGTATGGGTGACAGAGTGAGACTCCAACTCAAAAAAAAAAAGAATGCTAAATCCCTCACTTTGCATTCACTTCCAGGGCTATAGACCCTGACATCTTAGGAGGCCTGGCCTATGTCTGCCCTCATCCTAACTAGGCCCAGGTCCATCTGACCTGCCACACGCCTAGCAGAAAGATACCTGTGAAGAAACCCCCAGAGGAGCCAAGGTGAGGCGTCAGGCTCAAGCCTTCACCTCTCCCAAGGATGAGGGCACAGGCCTCTCTCGGTCCTCAGGCAAGTCACTGAGGGAACCCTCAGACAAGTGCCCGGGGTCCCAGGCCTAAGCCCACTTTGCAGCTCAAGCCTCTGTCTGTCCCCCCAGGACGCCCCTGCCACCTTCTCTTTCCCACCCGAACTGGGCCTCCCAATCCTGGCCCAGTTTTCCAAAAAGGGGGCCCACCATTTTGTCTTCCTTCAGCCATCTTCTGGCTACCTCACACTCTACCAGCCTGCCTTGCTGGGACCCCAGACAGACAGGAGAGGAGAAACAGCCAGTCCCTACAGACAGGGAGGCCTTTTCCAAGGGTAGGGATGGAGCAGCTTTTTCCAAGGGTAGGGATGGAGCGGCCATGGGCAGAGGGCAAGTTTTAGGGGTCGTGGGGCTGAGGAGAAATACCACCCTAGGTTACAGGGCCACTAGTATACCAGACACCTTGGCTCTCCTCTGGGTAAAATACAGGATGCCCGATTAAATTTGGATGTCAGATAAATGGATATTTTTTTTTAGTATAAGTATGTCCCAAATAGCGCATGGGACATACTCACATTGAAAACATTTATTTTAAAAAATCATTTCGTTGTGTATCTGAAATTCAAATTTAACTTGGTGTACTGTTATTTTTATTTTCTAAATCTGGCAACCCCACGTCCCAGCCAGTGTGAAATGCATGATTGGTGGCCACACAGTTAATAAACAACCCAAAGTCTCAAAGACTGACTTGGAAGACCCATTTTAAAGGCACTGGGATGGTGAGATTCGGTTTCCTGGGGGCTGGAGAAACCTGGGCAGTAAGTCCAAGGCTTTCTGCTCAGAAGGGGCAAAAGAAAGAAAGAAAAAAAAAGCCAAGCAAAAAAAAGCCCAAGTTTCTA